GCCGTGTACACGTCTGCAATGCGGATTGTTCCTGAGAAGCGGAAGTCGCCTCCAGATGGGGAGCTGCGCTGGCCAATGTACAGCAGGCAGTTGATGCCTGCCGGAGAACAGTCGGACAATGCATCCACCCCAAGGTCCTGCGTCCCGACCAGGCGCCCGTCCACAATCAGCCTCGCACTCGGCGCGTCCACAGACAGCAGGATGGTGTGATACTCGCCATCAGCAAGGTTGATCGGGAAGTGCACCACCCTGGACGCGTTGTGATGCGTGTTGTGTAACGTGATGTGCGATGCGATGTGGGCAGTGAGTGGGCTGGTTGCACTCACAGAGAACACACTTGCACTTGCATTTACACAGAAACATGGGAGAACGTACGGGCGCGTACAGCCAAGACGTGGGCGCGAGCACGAGTGGACATACACGCACACTCGCACACTTGCATGTGTCGACACACACACACACACACGCACGCACGCACACGCACACACGCACGCACATACACACACATACACACACATACACACACGCGTGCACGCAAAGACCCACCGTGTGCCCGTGGAAGAAGATGAGAAGTAAAATGAGAGGCGGCGAGATGTGCTGCTGGAGTAGAGCCCATAGAAGCGCCCAAGACCGCTCAAATCCGTCTTGGCAAGAAGATCTAGTGCGCAGTATCGCCAGCACGAACGTATGTGTACATGTGCGTGCGTGCGTGTGTGTGTGTGTGTGTACATGAGTGTATGTGTGTGTGTTATGCAAATTCATGACAGACAAGACATATGCACACACGGGAGGACAGGCACTTGAGATGCAAACGCTTACACAAACACACACACACACACACACACACCTCCTCACAAAACCGCCTCCCACAGGCACAACTCACATCCGTTGGTCTGTTCGTTCTGGCGCGCGAGGACAGCGATGGAAAACGTGGTCGCGGAGATGGGCGGTGGCTGTGATGACACCAGCAGCGCGCCAGTGCCCGAAAACTCGTACCCACCACCCATGAGGGGGATGACCGTGTTCGGGGGCGTGGCAACAACATCCTGCTCAAACAGATCCACGCGGGAGAAGCCAGTCTCTGGCGCTGATGTCGTGGTCGTCGTGCCAGGGGTCAGGGGCGTTGTCGGCGAGGTGGTGGTCGCGGTGGTGGACGGAATCTCCAGCGGCGTGTACAGCAGCTCCGCCCCATACATGGTGCCGATAAACTCAAGCGTGCCCTGGCCATCTGGCCCAATGCGCTGACCAATGCTGAAGACACACGACGGCGACGGAGAGCCACAGTCGTCGATGGGGCCCGCCAGCTGTGCGCTCTCCGGGTACCCAGATTGCGTGCGCAGCGTGACCGTGCTGCCCACAACCGTCAGCAGCACAGTGCGCAGCTCACCGTCCGTGAGACCAAACCCAAACGAGACCAGCAGCTGTGCGGACGAGCCCGGTGTGCGGTAGAAGAACGTGAGCGACTGCGTGGCCCGGCTCGAGTACAGGCTGTAGTAGCGGTTGCCCTGCCCGTCCGTCTTGGCAAACAGGTACCCCGACGTGCCTGGCGTCTGGCGCACAATGAAGCCAACCGTAAACCCGTCGCTGACAGGATCGAACGACGACAGGCGGTACCCGGCAGCGCCTGTGAAGACAACGGAGTCGTCGGGCTGCACCATAATGTCATCATCCGTGTTGTTTGGATCCAGCAGATCCAGCTTTGGTACTTCGGCCTCAGTTGTCTCGGGCTGAGTTTCTGTCTCGGTCTCGGTCTCCGTCTCTGTGATTGTGGATGACATTGTGGATGCTGTTGGGCCCGTGGTCGTTGTCGTGCTTGAGGACGTGGTGGTTGTCTGCGTGCTGAAGGGCGGCAGCAGCACCGTGTCCACAACATGCATCACACCGTTGGTGGCGTTGAGATCCGGTTGCTCAATCAGCGCACCGTCCACGAGAATCACGCTGCCTGCACGCACAATCCCCAGCGTCTCCTCGGCCAGTGACGCAAGCGTGTCGCCGTTGTCCATGTCGTCGGAAAACACCTCTCCTTCAACAAAATGTTGCATCATGACGCGCGCAAGCTGCATCTGGTTCTCCGGCTCAAACAGCTGATCAAGCAGGCGAGGCATGAGCGACGCAAACGCGCGGTTTGTGGGCGCAAACACCGTGTACTCTCTGTTGGTGGTGAGGAGAGAGCTGAGCCCGGCTGCGTTCATGGCGCTCAGGAACTGTGTCAGGCCCGCGTTGGCAGCCACGTCATCCAAGCGGCCCTCCACAGGCACAGTCACGGTTGTCACCCCGCCTGCACTGCTGGTGGTGGACGTTGAGGAGGCGCTTCTTGTCGTAGTTGGCGACGAAGTCGTGGTTGGTGTGGTAGTGGTGGTGGTCGTCGTCGTCGTCGTTGTTGTCGTTGAAACGCCGCCTTGGCTGGTGGTGGTCGTTGGCGGCTGCGTTGTCGTGGTTGTCGGAGCGACAACGGTGATGGCTGCGTTGACAAAGGAGTGGAACGAGTCGTGGTAGTTGTACACGCCAGGCTCCAGGAAGCGCACGGCATAGGAACCCTGCAAGCCAGAGGGTGACTTGAAGAGCAGACCGGCCTGGCTGTCATCGCGCTCACCACTCGTCACATCAAACACCTCGTCGTTGTTCCACCGCCACTCCACAATCTCGCCTGGCTCGATGGTGATGCTTGCGTCAATGGGGTCGTAATCCCAGGTGATGATGTAATCGGGGGCATCGGAGGGCGTGGTCTCCACGGGATTAACAACAATAATCACGCCGCCAAGCGACGACTGCAGCTGCGAGAAGTACTCAAAACGGCCCGGGTCGTTGAACGTGAATGAGTAGGAGCCGACAAAGGCGGGCTCGCCAGACGCAAACACGCCGTTTGGAATGCGCGAGGAGCCACTGAGCACATTCAGGGGCGCCACTTCATCCCACTGCCACGTCACCGTATCGCCCTGACAACAGGTAAGCAGCAGCAGCAGCAGCAGGCAAGCATGGAGGAGAGAAGGGAGGTGAGTGAGGGGTGTTGTGAGAGGGGTGAGGGAGGAGTGAGGGAGTGGGAGTGTGGGAGAGGGAGTGTGCGGATCCCAAGGGAAGGGGGCATAGGCGGAATGGCTTCTGTTCAAAGCAAATACACGCACGCACACACACACACACACACACACACACACACACACACACACACACACACACACACTGCCTCTCACATGCATGCGCACATGCGCCAAGACATGGCACGGTGTGGGACCCACCTTGTGGATGCGAAGCGAAGCGTCCTCAAATGAAATGCCCAGACGCCAGTCAATGACAAACGTGACCCCCGTTGGTGGGCGGGGACCGGTCGTGCCGGTTGTGGTTGTTGATGTCGTGGACATGGTACTGGTAGTTGTCGTGGTAGACAACGTGCTCAGCGTCGTGGAACGCGTACCGGCAGTGGTGCTGCTTGTTGTCGTTGTCGTGGTCGTTGTGGTCGTGGTCGTGGTTGGGCGCTGCGTCACGGGCGTGCCGTTGCCTTCGCAGATGGTCTCCTGGTAGCGTGTGGGCACGCGCACGGCGCCATCGCTGTGGACGCCCGTTGACACAACGCTGCCGCCAAACTCGCACTGCACAAACTCAAACAAGCCACCAGCGCTGCAGGTCGTCCGTGTGTGTGTGTGTGTGTGTGTGTGTGTGTGTGTGTGTGTGTGTGTGTGTGTGTGTGTGTGTGTGTGTGTGTGTGTGTGTGAGGAAAGAATGCATAGGCTTGCATGCGTGCATGCATGAGTGTCATGAGGTGACATGGCATACACCCACAAGCAAGCCACTCCGTATGCCCCTTTTTTGCCTGCTCACCAGATCATCTGCGCGCATTGGAAGGCCGTGTTGATGACATCAGTCTCCGTCCACACAATCCCTGAGCTCGACCGGCACTTGCACACACCAGACGTCTCACGCGGGATCCACCGCGTCAATCTGATGAAGAGGGGGAAGAAGAAGAAAGAGAGGAAGGGATGGGGATAGACATGATGGTGTAAGAGTGACAACATCATCCATGGTTCGTGAGTTTGATCGATGCCATTCATATTCATGCAGCACACACACACACACACACATACCCACACACACACACACACACACACACACACACACACACACACACACACACACACACACACACACACACACACACACACACACACACACACACACACACACACACACATACACACAAATATATCTGCAGGTCGAGAATGCGCAAAGTGACGTAAGTTGCAGAAAGAGGAGAAGAAGAGCGCAACACACACACACACACACACACACGCAACACAACAGCATCAGCGTTCTACCGAAATACAGGCAGGTGGATGGGGCGAAGACGCACGCAAAAACAAAAAGACACACACGTGAATGCAAACACGCGAAAACTGTCAATACATACACGCACACATACACACACGCACCTGGTGTCTTCCGAGAGATCATCACAGGGGGTGTTGTCAGGACGAGTGACGTTCTGCCAGCAGCTTCCGCCAAAGCAGCGCGCCGTAGTGCACTGGTTCTCGTCCGTGTCTGTGCACACAGAGCCGTCATCGGCAAGCGGATACGGAAGGCACTCGCCGCGGTAACACACAGTTGGCAGCAAGCACTCCCCTGGGGGCGGTGCACATGTCACGTTGCGCGCCTCGCACAGGTCAATACCGACACAGCGCGCGTCTTCCGTGCACGTGTCAAAGTCTGTGCTGGGGTCGTCGTCGGTGCAGGACGTGCCTGCAGGCAACGGCTCGTATTCGCACTGCCCGCTCTTGCACACGCCCTCGGAGAAGCACGCATCCGGCGGCGGACACTCCACACCAAGACACAGGTCAATGCCAGCACACACGCCATTGGTGCACATGTCCAAGTCCGTGCGCGTGTTGTTGTCGTCGCACGCAATGTTGCTGAGCAAGTTGTCCTGAATGCACTCGCCGTCAAGGCACTGCGCTGCCGTGCACACGTTATCATCCGTGTCCGTGCACGCAACTCCGTCTGCGCGGTTCGTGTACATGCATTCGCCGCGGAAACACGACGCATCCAGGCGGCACTCCGACAGCGGGCACTCCGTTGTGTCGCAGTAGTCGATGCCCACACACTCGCCCTCCGCTGTGCACGAATCTTCGTCGGTTGCAAGCATGCCGTCGTCACAGGGCGCTCCCTGTGGCTGCAGCTCGTACGTGCAGTTGCCACGGAAGCACACGCCCTCTTGCCTGCAGGCATCCGGCGGTGGCGGGCACACGGGATCGCGGTCACACAGATCAACACCAACACACACCCCGTTCTGGCACGCGTCAAAGTCCGTGCGCACGTTGCCGTCGTCGCACTGCACGTTGTGTGTGTGTGTGTGTGTGTGTGTGTGTGTGTGTGGTGTGTGTGTGCATGTGTGCACGTGTGTGCGAGTGTGTGTGGGTGAGTGAGTGAGTGTGTGGGTGAGTGAGTGTATGTGTTTGTGTGTGTGTGCGTGTGTGTTTGTTTGTGGCGTTGTGTTGGGTTGATAATGTTGCGGAGGAATGGGTTGAATGATAAGTACAGAAGGCGTGCATGCGTTTGAAGACTTCGCGGGCATCGCACTTCTGAGAAGCATTGCATCATGACGGTGACACCTTTCTCACCGTTGCGCCGTTGCTGGCGAGGATGTTCTGCACGCAGACACCTGTCTGACAGCGGGCGAGGGTGCACACGTTGTCGTCCGTGTCTGTGCACACGGCTCCGTTGCGGCGAGGGGGATGATCAGGGCACTACACGCACGCACACACACACACACACACACACGCACACACACACACAGACGCACGCACACGCACACGCACACACGCACACACGCACGCACGCACGCACGCACACAAGAATTGTTTTCGGGAAAGTGAGTCAGTTGTGGACACGGTAAATGTTGGGTTGTGCGGGAAAGAAGTATGGTGAGCGTGATCGCAAAACAAACACAAAATCAACGCAACACAAACAACAAGTATGCAAGCAAGTGCAGGGCGTGAGGAAAGTTGTGAACCCTCCATGCGAAACACAAAACGCTGCGCACCTCGCCGTTTGAGCACGTCACGCCCTCAAGGCAGTCGCTTGGGGCAGCGAGCTCGGCGATACAGGCGCCGCTCACGCATCTGCAGGAAGGAAAGAGGAAGGAACGTGATGTGAATGCGAATGCGAATGCAAATGCGAATACGAGCGTGATGACGATGATGGTGGTGGCGACAAGGACAGGAGAAGAAGTGGATCAAGCGAAGCACACACACACACACACACACACACACACACACACACACACACACACACACACACACACGCACACACACACGCACAGATGCGCGCAAAACCAAGCAAGCAAGCAAGCACAGGGAATGTTCATATGCAATGTGCGCACAATCGTCAAGCGCACCTGTCGTTGGTGGTGCTGTTGTTTCCGTCATCGCAAGGAAGACCGTCCTCAACACTCACGAGCGGTGGGCATTCGCCCAATTCACACGGCGGCGCGTACAGGCACTCGTTCTCGGGCTGCTCGCACACAACATCAAGGCACTTGTCCACGCCAGAACATGAGCCGTTGCCGTCACACACGTCATCGCGTGTTGTGATGTCGTTGTCGTTACACGATGTGCCTGATGGCTGCGGCTGTGCTGGGAGGCAGTCACCCAACACACACTCCTCGGCCTGGTAGCAGCCAACCGCGGGCTCACACGGGACCTGAACACGGTGATGCGTGGTGTTGGGTGGGCATGCGTGAGTGGGTAACGCGATTGTGGGTTTAGGGGGGGGACGAAAGAAGCAAGTGTTCCACGCGTCCACACGAAAATACGCACACACACACACGCACACGCACACACGCACACGCACACGCACACACACGCATGCACGCACGCACACGCACACACGCGCAAGCACACGCGCACACGCACACACCTGGTCGCAGTATGCCTCCTGTTTTGTGACGAAGCGGAAGTGGGTGACGGCTGCGTTCTCCGAGAAGATGGAGAGATCGACAAACAGCGGATACTGTGGCGCTGACGCTGACGTGTACACAACGCCGCCATCCAGCAGGTACTCCACAGCACCGTTGCGGTTGACGCGGATCTGAACAGAGCTGTTGAAGGCGTAACTTCCCGCCGCAAACTGCAGCTTGCCGCCCTCGTACACAAAGTACTGACGGGAGGTGGTGAGGAAGACGCCAAAGTCGACGTCTGAGAACCGCGGGCTCGGGTCCTGCGCGCCAAGACCAACAATGATGTTCGCGTCTGTTTGCGCTGCCCGGAACTCCACGCCAGCAAACTCGCCGTCCGCCGCCAGGCCTGCGTGTTGTGGTATTGTGGTGCGGTGTTTTGTTGTGGTGTGTTGTGTGCGTGTGTGCAAGCAGAGGATGCATGGATAAGCGTGGGTGAGCGTGGGTGAGCGTGTGGAATCACTTCACATCCAGCAGCACACACACACACACGCACACACACACACACACAGAACATGCAAGCATGCATGCTTGCTTGCATGCACGATTCCGAGGCACAC